GTAATTAAATTCAGATGCCATTGAGGATCTAAAATGTTCTGCAGATTGAATTGTTTCTTTTGTTTGTGTGCCGATTCAGGGGATAGATATGCATACAACTTAGCAGTTCAGCTCGAGGGTGTAAAACCACTGGAACGTTGCGGTGCTCTTTCAGGCCGTGTCATGCATCGTCTCCGCCAGGGACAACGGAGGGTCGTTAATCCTTGCTGCTGACTTACCAAGTCTTACGCGATGACTGTTAGTCTAGTTGAGTTGCCATTGCTGCTGGGCGCTCGTGCGACTGATTCCATATCCCTCGTTTTGAGGTGAATGAACGGACACATATGACCTTTCACGCTTCCAAAGAAGTTTCTAAGTAGTCCTTTGCATCTTTCCTAGCAGCAGGGTCTGTCCCGTGCTGGGGCCCTCGTTTTGAGGTGAATGAACGGACACGTATGACCTTTCACGTTAGTTTCCAAAGAAGCTTCTAAGTAGTCCTTTGCGTCTTTCCTAGCAGCAGGGTCTCTCCCATGCTGGGGCACGCGGCTGGCGTGCCGGATTCATGCAGCTGTGGGCAGAAAGCAGCGCGATGCTGCGATGCCAGGGCGTACTCCTTAATTTAGTCCTCTGCTCAGCAGGGTCTTCTCTGCCTGTGGCGGGGTACGGCAACCCCAGCCCTGCCATGCGGCGTGATGCCTCAGGTGCGCGTGTCAGCTCAGGGACATACCGCTGAGTGGGGCCCAGGAACGCCGTGCCTTATGCCAGATTTTGGGTTTCGGTCTGCTGTTTTCAAAAATATTCTGGGAAGCAGAATGCCACCAGGCAAGGGACAGCTCAGCAACCAACGTACCTGTATTTTTTTTGCCTTTCCATTTCTTTTGCATCTAAAGATGAAAAAAAACCCAAATCATCTCTGAGTTTTCAGGATATTGAGGGCTGTATGATGTCCTCATTGACAGTGAAAATCCTCTTGTCCTTCGTTTCTTTTCACTGGTGTCACTGATGGGAGTTCAGAAAGCGATGGTAATGAAGAAGCCCTGGGAGGCATTTCTGTTCGTTACGTTATGTCTGCCGAGCTAAATGGAGGTAGAGCAGTAGGAAAGTCTCATCGCCTGTTAAGTTGCTGGTTCTACCTCTCACTACACAACTGTTGGGAGGATGATAATTACCCTCGTTGCATTATCAAGTGACAGACTAATTTTAAACTAACTTTTGCTGATAAATACAGTAGAACTGCAGATGCTGCTATTACTTAAAGTATGCATTTAAAAAATTGGTTCTAGTGAGTAGTACTACAAGCAGATGGCCACTTTCAGTAGAGTTTTAAAGCACTACAGTGTTTTCGGCATCACAAGTTCAACTGAATGACTTTTAAAATAACTCTACAGGGAACTGCCCTATTTTTATGTGCATTCTTTAATTGCTGCTTTTTGGTCTTCAGTGCATTTTTATTATATATTTCAACCTAACGTGCAATTTGTGTGTTTCAGATGAAATATGACTGTCATTCCACGGTACTTTGTGGTGATTTTTGCAATGTCAGTTAAAGCCAGTGGCCATAATGTACCTGTTTCTCTTAGTCAGGAAGTAGTATGCTGTTTGTTCTTCAATTTTAATCGTGTTTTAGACAAAGATATTTTCAAAGGCGATGAATTCCAGCAGAAGCCATGCCAGGAATTTCTGAGAAAAGGAAACGGTGTCACTAATTCTGCTAAAAGTGATGCTACATTATAACCTTCCAACCTTACAGGCCGTTTCTGTCTTGGGTGAAAGAATAGTTCTGTGCGAGGAAACAAAAGCATCCCCCCCTGCTGCGACAGAAGATGTTTGTATACTAATTAGGGAGGTAAATCTTTTACATATTTGGTCTATCTGAATCCTCGTGCAAAACGCCGTTCTAAAGACGGCTATGGTTTCTTTCAGTCACTTACATTCATGTAATGTTTGGAGGTTTTTGAATAGTAATCTGCATATCCCCAGATTTGTTCTGTCAAGTTTTACCTGGGAGAATTATTGTTACCGAGGTATCTGTGACAGGTTATCACCCTAGCTGCCAGTTAAGTGCGTGCCAGAATAAGAGGTGAGTAGAGTTTACCCTATCTGCAAACAGCGGGAGTGCTGCTTCGAAGGACGCCAGTCAACCAGCAATGTGTCAGACAATCTATA